ATGTCCTAAATTTTATATTTAGAAATCCTTATTCCATTTTCGATTCAGCTGACCTTCATTTATTAGATGAATTAGCCTTGAAATGTCTTTTAGAAAGTGATGATCTTGAACTTGAGGAAATAGAAATTTGGAATTGTTTGATTAAATGGGGTATTTCTAAACTTCTTGATGAAAATATTGCAAATTGGTCTGATGAAAATATCAAAGAATGGTCAGAAGATCATTTCAATACATTAAAAGAAACTATCATTAATTGTATTCCCTTAATTCGCTATTATTATATTCCTAAATATCTTATTGAAAAACAAATTAAACGTTATCACTTGGATTCTAATATATTTATTAAATCCAAAACCCCTCCAAGAAGATGTTCTAGATTAATCACCAACAAGAATAAAGCTATAATCTCAAGCTGGATTGATAAAAAAAGACAAAGATTATTATAATTGTTTTACAGATCCTTATAAGGTTAAACTTTTATTACGTGGAAGCAGAGATGGATTTAATATTAACACTTTTCATGAACTATGTGATTTTCAAGGTCCAACTATCGTAGTACTTAAAACCAACACGGGTGAATTATTAGGTGGATATAATCCTGTAAATTGGGATAAATCTACTAATATTATTGATCGAATTCAATTTGTTAGTGGAACGGAACGTATAACTACGGGAAACTTTTGTGAAATTGTTAGATTTGTTAATATGTTAATTTGGTTTATCGGTTTTAACATGGTACATTGCTTTAAATTAAATAAGGCACCATACTTTAATGAAACTTCAAATAGTTTTATCTTTTCATTTACTGATCAATCAAATCCAGTATTAAGCAGGGTAAAAATTGAAAAAAAAGATAAGGCTATTTGGAATGATGAATTATGCGGACCTTGTTTTGGAAAATCAGATTTATGCATGAGATTTTCTCATTGGACTAGTCAGTGGGAAGATTATGAACATCAAATAACTAATTCAAGCATATTAACTGCTGAAGAATATGAAGTATTGGCCTTTGGTAATTATAGACCAACACAGTTTTGAAATGTTTGAAGAAGAGTAAAATCTTTATACTTGGATTTATAATTATAGTTTTAAATCTTTGTATAATATCTTATGGGACTTTTGCAGTTTTGTTTATGTATTTAGCCTTATTTTTGATATTTTTATTTTTTTTTATAATCAATGTTATCATTGCTTGTATTGATTTAAATTCTCATTAGCCAATATTTATATATTAGCTTTTTAAAAAATTTTATGATATGGTAGGGCGCTTAATTTTAAATGCTGATAACTACTATGATAGTAATGATGTTAAATAATAGATATTAGTAAGTCATAGATCATCAATGTTATTGCGAGATCAATGACGTATTTGTGGCCACAATAGTTTATCATGGTACTATATATTTTATGTGATGAATGATTGTAGCAAAAAATGATGAAAAATATAGTAATTAGTAATATCGTCATTTTTCGATGACTTATTAAATGGGTATATTAGTAATGTTTGTTGGTAAGTAAATAGGCACTTTTGGTTTTGCTATTGCCTGCCTTGCATCATTAGGCTGGCTCTTTCCGTACCCACTCACCCAAGTACATATGAGAATTATTGAATGAGATGTGTTCAAAAAAAAAAAAAGTGTGAAGAAAGCAGGTGTTGTGTCTTTAAGATAAATAATTATAATCATTCTTAGGGTTATTTATTTTGATGAAAATACTAATAACTTTTGTTTTATTTTAGCATGTTTTGGTTAATTATAATAACAGAAATCAAATTGGCCTTTTGGTGTAAAATTTGGGTTTGGGCATTGCAAGGCTCCGCGGCTATATAATAGTGAAATGACTTTATGAACCTTATGAGTTTTTTATCGAGGTTCGTCGATTACGGCCATCATCTTAGTAGCACAAACTATAATGCTTTATTGATGCATAGAAGGGTTTACGGCTGTTTTAACAGTGCAAAGACCTTTTGATCATAATTTTATAATGAGCAAGTGTATGAGGATTGCTTAATTGAAAATTATCAGATTTGATATCCACGATGGTGGTATATAAGGCTCTACGGCTGCATAGCAGTGCAAAAACCTTAAACAGATACATGGCTGATAAGACCATGCGATACAATAATAAGCAAAAGAAAACGGGCCAATTAACTATATTGCGATTCTCTTTTTTCGCTATTTTCTGTCATGTTAGCTCGGATTCATATATAAAAGTATTGTAGTATATATTATTAATCAGCCATGGGTGTGATAACATTTGTAATAAGTAATCTGTGTTATGAGTAGGATTTGTACAAGTAGCGAACCTAATTCCCATATGCATTTCCAATGTAAATCAAACAATATAATTGAATTGAATGATCGAGCAATAATATTAACAAAAATATTTAAATCGTAAATATCGATTTTATTTGATATACTATAGTCATGAATTATTTTAGTTGGTTGAAATTGAATAATGTTTAGTTTCTGGCTACAAAAAAATAAATAATAAGTTGAAAATTTATCAATGCAAGAGCGGAAGCAAAACCAATATAAAACGTGAGGGTTGCTTGCATTGTGGTGTATTTATGAAATGCCCTAAAACCTTTAATTTCTTAAATTCACTATGATGACACTATGGTGCGACAACGTCGCACAGCTACCTTATGGTTTTTATGGCATTTTTTTGTGAATAATTTGATTTGTGCAATGCATCAAACTTCACGATATTGCACTATAGTTATATTTATTATGAAATATGTTTAACAATACGAACGTACTAACATATTTTTGTCTCGATTAAAGTGCGTGACAATCAGTTTAATACAGTATGAATTTTTTTATTTATTGTCTTCGGAATTGCACTACATGCAACCAAATATGGTTTTATCATTTTATGGAAACTCAAAATCTTGAACTGAAATTGGTCCACATAATAAATGTCAAATATCGCATGAATTTCTAAACTACAATATACATACTTATTGACAAATTTAATATAAAGAATCAACATGATCTTTGAAAATTTACCTCTAAAATCTAAAAACTTGGATATACATCTAAATTGATAAATATATTCATTAATAATGTGATTTACTATTTTTGAACTAACAATATAAAATACCTTTCAAGATATCTTTATAAGTTACTTTATATTCATTTAAGATTGCAACATAAAAAAGTGATGGCTACCGAAAAATGAATTGCATGTGAGGCCGAAAAGACACAAAAAGAAGAGGCCCAAAAGCAAAAAAAAGCCAAGATGGAGCATATAAAAGCGGAGAAGCAGCGTGTTAAAAATATGAAACAACTTAAAAAGTAAAAATGGTAAAATTTAAATTTTTTTTTCATTTTTGCTGCAGTGTGCCAATTTAGGGTGATCTTTTGATAATCTCGATTTATGGAGGAATTTACATAATCAGATAAAGTTCGACTTTTTGTTTATAAAAGGTTTTTTTTTATAAATAAAAGATTTATTTCAAGTCAATATGTGTCAAATTTAGTAAAAAAATGTAAATTTTTATACCGATTTT